TTTATGCTTGAATTCTTGTAAAAATAAGGACCAAGTTACTTGATCACCAGATATTCTCAATGTAACGTTTGTCCACAAAATCCTTGCTTGCCCTCTCAGCAAAGAAACCACTCCATTTAGTTTCTCAGCATCGGAATAATGAAGTCCCTCAAGCATAATTTTCACATCCTTAAGCCAAAGATCCGCAACAACAGGACCTTCTTCGGCTTCACCTTTAAACTCTGGAGCTCCTAAACCCTTCAACTCCTTTGCAACATTCATTTTCAGAGTTGAAGTAGCAGGAGGTTTGAAACGTGTCAATACCGTGTCTAATATCCTAAAGAACACATCTTGATCAGCTACAGGCACTTCAGAGGGTGTATGTTCTTCATCTTTCCTGGCCAGGGCATATGAATTACTGCTTTCAGCGGGCCTATCGTCTCCCGCTTCACTTCTAGAACTACCATGTCCAGACATCTATTAAGACACAACCATATCATTTTATTAGCAACACAACATACTTATTATTCTATCTGATCAGAAGTTTTCACTAATTTGTTGGCATGTATACATTATAAGACACTCTAGACTTCGGTTTATACCGAGAATCGACTACACCATAGCTCTGATACTATTAAATGTAACACCCTCAACACCCGACCCGGATACGAGTTCGAGATGTCACATTAACTTTTAAAAACGATATTCTTACAAAATATCAAAACATTTGAACTCATTTTAAGAAAATATGATGATATATCCATTATAAAATTTTTGAGTCAAAAACTTATTTATGAACAGTGATATACAGTATGAACAGTGACGTGGACAGTAATGAACAGTGCCGTGAACAGTGCTACAGTGCATCGATGCATAAAAATGGAAGCAAAATTATTTATCGATGCACTGCTACAGTGCATCGATACACTACTACAGTACTGTCGTAAAACGTATATAAAACTCGTAAAATTTAACTGTTCATTACTATACATTTATATTTACATAAATATGTTTAAAACATTATAAAAGTCGATCAGAGCGTTCGTACTAAAACATATCTTACATGCCAACATACTATATACAATCAAAATACATACTTTATCAGTTACTTCTGATATGATATTCTATCAGTGTTGCTGTCCTTGCCACTCCTATTTCCGCTATTCTTGGTTCTTGGTACCTACGTGTAAATCACTTACACACTAAGTCATAGACTTAGTGAGGCATAATAAAATATATAACAATGAATTCATAAAACATGCACTCTTACCGTTCAATCGTAACATTATAACATGTATGTATTCATTACACTACAACATATATAATCATGTCATGCATATATGAAATTTATCGTCTTATACAAGTTTCACTTCACTTTATCTTTGTATTGCCCATATACATTATTGAGAACAGGAGGTAAATGAGTACACTAGGTTGTGCACGAATGTTGTCACCACAACTCGAATAAATTCCCACTAGGGCACTGAATATTTGTCCCAAAGGACCACTATGTCTTGAAGGACCACTGTATATGTCCCGAAGGACCACTGTATATCCCTCAACTCTTGGCATGCCAATTATACCTACAACTCTCATATTAAATAAAATGGGCTTATATATGAATACATTCTCATTTACATATCCCCTTAATCACTTTTCATCCAATACATAATTCACTTCACATGCATATTTGTAATCACTTTCATTATTTCACATACCTGGATTATTTCTCTGACAATTGCATTCTTTCATATAATATCATATTAAAGCATAAATGAATTATGCATGAAATCACTGTATCCAATATATATAAATATGAATATGAAATCATGAATTCAACTATAAGAGATAGACTTATCGCAAGTCTTATCTCCATACAGTTCTATCTAGTATGTGCACTCACCTTAGCCTTGCTTACTTTGACTTGATTCTAATCCTTCGATTATTCCGAAACAAGATTATGTTCTATATTTACATAATAATACATTGATACATATCAGTATACTAATTAATATATTCTAACTATCACTTCTTAGGCTAAAAGAAAGGTTATTTTTATCTTTTAATGAAGGTATGTATCGATGTACTCTACAGTGTATCGATGCATCCCTCAACCTGTGCATCGATGCACTATCTATGCATCGATACATAAATCACATTCGATGTTTTCATCTTAAGCGGGTGCATCGATGCACTCCTTATGCATCGATGCACTAATTGCATTCGATGTTTATTTAATTGAGAGTGCATCGGTACACATTGAATGTGTATCGATGCACACAACCCAGAAATGTTATTTGAGCACGAAAATCCCTTCTTAATCCTATCAACACTTCATATTTCACCTCCTTTATATCCCTAACTTACATACACATGCTTAGCCTTACTAATATTCATTTATCCCATCTTTAACCTCAATATCTTCTCCTCTTTATGAAATTCAATAATCATACACAAATTTACAACATGTTTTAAATCTAATTCTAACACTCCATATTCCTTAATTAACCTCTTGACAAGTCAAAAATCTTATTCAAACTTCAAAAACTCATCCATATCAAAATTTCACTTTTCCACTTCCTGTCTTTAATCCTTCATAACTTATAAATCTTTGAGTTTTTATGACCCTTTTTATCTCCATCATCTTTCCTAAAGCTTCATGAATCAAACCCATGCTTGAATTTGAAGGATTAACCAAAAGAAATCAAACTTACCTTGAGCTTGGGTCTTCACGTTGGAGAAGAGAAGAAAATGAAGAAGATGAGAATTGTCTGGAAACTTTGTTTCCAAACATGCTCCACATGGGTTATTATAATACCCATAAATTCTTATTTAATTATTTTCTTGTCCAAAGACCCATTTGCCCTTTAATTCCTTTGATAATTACAAATAACTTTAAGGAAATATTTCCAAATAAATCATTAAACTATTCAACTATTCTACTTTTATTACCAAATTCTGAAATTTTACAATTTAGTCACTAACCCGGTATTGAAGATGTTACAAAAACTGTTAGCTAACAAATGATTAACACTCCAAAATAAAGATACTTTTTACTATAAAAATAAAATGTTGGGGGCCAAAATGCTCAAAAAAATTAAGAGCCAAAATGATTATTTTGCCAAACATTATAAGCCTTTTTATCTTAAAATGTAAAGATAAAATACTCCAAAAAGAATGTGAAATTAAATATTTTTTACTAAACATTTGAAGACTAATTTTTTACATTTAGCCTTAATTTTAATATAATGTTACTTTATTGTAATTGTTTTTGTTCATAAACAATAAAAATACTAAATATTGTAATACAATTTGTTATTATTTACTTTTATATGAAATAAAAATCTTAGTTTATTTGATATTATGTATAAACTTTTACAATAAAATAGTATGGTTGTTATCAATTTTACAAATATTTTTGAAGAATAATTTTTTAAGTAAATAAAAATAATAATTTTTATATATTATTTTCAGCCTATTAAATATATATAATATATATTGAATAAATGGGATATGATCCACTTACTTTAGTATATTTTTTTAATTTTATATATATTTAAGATCGTTGGATGAGAAAAAATAGACTATTAAGACTACTCCTTGCTTTTCCTAATGAAGATTTCTTCATTTTTCACTGTTAATCTCAATCGTCTATTTTTACTCCTCTGACAATCCCAAATCTTATATAAAACTAAAAAAAATTAAATTACATAATTAATCCTATCATATACCAAAAAAATCTATAAAAGTTACATAATAGATATAGTTGTTCAAACTCAAATTATATATATATAGATATATATATATATATATATATATATAGGTTTAGTTTAGATTATAAAATAGGATAAACTGCATGTTTAGTACTTAAAATATTAGTTTTGATTCGTTTTAATACATAAACTTTTAATTTTTTAAAATCATACCTAAAGTTTAGTTTTTGTTTCATTTTAGTACCCTCATCGTTAAAAGCTTTAGCTTTTGTTTCATTTTAGTACCCGTTCAAAATTTAAAGTTATGTTTTGAATTTTTTTTTGAAAGTTTATGTACTAAAATGGACCAAAACTGATAGTTTAGGAACTAAACACGTTAAGTTTTTAATAACGGGTACTAAAATGAAATGAAAACTAAACGTTAGTTATAATTTGAAAAAATTGAAAGTTTAGTTACTAAAATAAACAAAAATTGATAGGTTAGATAATAAATGCGTAGTTTACTAAAAAAAGGCTTAATGACTAAATAAGTGTCCAAATTATATATTTTGTGTCAAATAAGTGTATACATTTTTTGGCACATCATGGTGTCTAACGTTATAAACGCAACACGTGTCACAATCTGGTAATTTTAAAATTTTTATATAAAATAATTTTTTTTACATTTTTAAAAAAGAAAACACATAAATTTGGAAATAACCCATAAACTTTGAAAACCTTCATTTCAGCCCCTAAACCCACACCGCCCGCCGCCCTTTGCTATCGGAAACCAAAACTCCTATGAAATCGTGATCGGTTGATGACCAATCGACGATTTAAATCTCGCGAACCCTAGTATGAAAATCTCGATCCAATGCGATTTCGACAGTGAATTGGCAATAACTACGACAACATATAACTATGATTATGACAAGGACTACGTTGGCGGCGGTAATTGTGGCCGGAGGGGGCGACGACAACATATTAAGTTTAGGATTTTGGGTTGTTTTATAATATAAGAAAAGTTAGGGTTTTTTATAAATATAATAATATTTTTAATATTTTTTAAAAATAAATTTTAAAATTATCAGGTTGTAACGCATGTCACTTAACGAAGAAAACTAACACTATTAATTGCTTGGGCACATAAAATGCTAACGTTTGTAACATTAGACACTCGAATAAATAAAAAAAATATAGTCACTTATTTTACAAAAAAATAATAATTTGGACACTTATTTGGACATTAAAAAAAATATTGTGCATTAGAATATCAAGCAATCTGCATTCCACTGTGGTTATGACGTGCTACGGTGCTAGGGCTAGATTACTATTATATAATCCGACTATTCCCCCCTTTTTTTTCTTGCAATTTTCAGTCAGAATCGTTGGAAAAGGTTGTTGGGAGGAATTCCTAAATTTAGTCAATCATGCGTCGGAGGAAAAGCAGAGCAAACCGGCGAATCGCCCCATCGAGCGATGAAGACGAGGCGGGACTTTCGAAGGTTGCCGTGGACGCGGCGGCCGGGGGTAATAACGAGAGTGAGAAGGCCGTTAATCAAGAGATTGATTGTTTCAAAGAGGAGTTTGAAGAAGTTGATAATGTGGTAAGTGCTGTCATGGAAATGGACTCCATTCAACTCGATCAAATAAACAACGGCGACGACGTTGTTGAAAATAAATCGAATTCTACTGAGGCAATTATCGGTAAAATTGAATTGAATTTGGAATTAAATTCTTTAAATGGTGTAGGAGAGAGTGAGGAATCGGATAATTTGGATGTTAGTTTGAAGTGTAGTAAATTTGAGGATGGGAGTGCCAGGGGACAAAATTTGAGTACGAACATCGAAGTTGTTGATGTGGATTCAGGGAATGAAATTGAGGATGGTGAGGAAGCCAAGGATCATGGAAATGAAGGTAATGACAAATCATTTTCCCTAGAAGTTTTCATTTCAATTCGTTTCTAGCTATTTAGCTGACCGTCACTTGGCTGTTGGTTCCAGTATTAAGTATATGTTAATTGATTCATATAAATAAACATGTTCTTATATATAATAATAGAGAAGATTGAATATGTTAATTGGTTCATTTCTAACTTGCAGTTTATATAGCAATTTCTGCAAATCAGTGAGACTAAAAAATGGTGGGCCTTGAAGCTTTTGTCATAATTATGAAATGTCTAGATATTTTAGGATAGGAAATGGTTGTGGCTCTTATTACAGTTAAGAACATGAACACAATAGTCTTGCTCACTAGCTAGAAACAGAAGGCATAAATTGTTTTGGTAAAAATTGACAAACTCAAATTGAGCAGTTCCATTATGGGTGTATCTTTTGAACATTCTCCAGTAAGGAAATAGCAGCTTATTACTTTCCATGTTTTCTTTTTTGCGCAATCTTAGTTTAGTTTCTCGGTCAAATCTTTCTGGCATGATTTGTATACTCACCCTAAACTAGTGTGCACCACAATCTTTTATGTTTTCTCACGCTCATTAAAGTTTTTAGTTAGAGAAAATATTCAGCATCGCTGTAATAGAACATTAATCTTTTATCGCAACTTGTTCGTGGTATCTAATGACTTGAAAATCCATGCATGTCCCTGTTTGTGAGACCCTGGTTTATTATGATATTTTTGGATGTTGAAATCTTTGGTTTTCTGATATATGCAATTGCTACTAAGCTCATTAAGCATCCCTACCCCTCCCTGCCCTTTCCTTTTAGTTTCCTCTAAGAGGAAGATTTTAGCTTTGACTGCTTTCCCCTGCAATATGTTAATGCCATTATACGTTTTTAATGTCAATCATATATGTTGAGCTTTTGTTGGTGCAGAACAGAAATCAATTGAAGGAGAACCTTTGGCTGCTAGAATTACAATCACGGCATTAGATGGGCATATCAATGATTGTTACAGCAACAAGGATGGTAATGATGGCGAAAATGAGAAGGAAAGCAGAGATGACTGCCAACAGAATGAAGACATTGAAGTTAGTGATGTCAATATAGTGCCTCAGGTACTTAACCATGACTGTCTAACCAAGCAAAGGAAAGAAAAGACTTTGGAAATACATGTTGGAGGTCTGCATAAAATGACAGTTGAGCAGGACTTGTTTGAAATATTTGGAAAGTTTGGGGAAGTCCAAAGTGCAAGGATTGTGAGGCATCAAACCACACAGAAAAGCAAAGGGTTTGCTTTTATTCAATATGCTACAGCCGAACAAGCCAAGAAAGTTCTTTCTGACTTGAAGAATGGGATAGAGGTTAAATAAAACTTTCATTTGTGTCTGATGTTGTAAAATCTATACCTTTCTATCTTTACTAACATTCTTTTATATCCCTCTCGTCCTCCCCTCCTCCCTTATACATGTAGGTGAAAGGAAAGCTTGTTAAGTTATCAATCAGTCATGACCGTGATGTTCTTTATCTGGGTCATATTTGCAAAACATGGACCAAAGAGGATGTAGGAAAATTATTTCTATAATCACTTTTAGTTTTCTTTTATGATATATGTTTGCATCACATAGTGCATTTATTCAAGGCAAATCACATCATGTGTCTGCCAAAAGTTCATTTTAAACTGCAAGTGATGGTGAACTTCAATTCTTGATCCGATTTTTTCTCTTCTTAGATTCTTGGGAAGTTGAAAGGTTATGGAATTGTAAACATAGTTGAGATACAAGTACCCAAAGATTCTAAGAATGACAAGAAGATTAAAGGTTTTGCTTTCTTGAGATTCAAAACCTTCTTTGATGCAAAGGCCGCTTTGCACCATTTAAGGAAGCCAGATGTAGTTTTTGGCAATCTGAGGTGTGCTAAAGTTTCTTTTGCTCGCACTCCAATGCAGTCAAGAGAGAAAATTCAGCTCCAGGTTAGGAATCTGTGGGTGTTAAACTCTCTTCTACTTAACATCGGAAGCATGTTATGGTTTTGAGTGCTTGCAGATTTTTCCTTTTTGTAGTTGAATACGACTCTTCTTTAGTTAAGCTAAAATTACATTTGTCAAAAGAAGCAGGAAAACCTGCTAAAAGAGGTGACTGTTTGGGTCAATATGAAAGACAGTTAGAACCACTCAATATAGAACTTATGTGATCAACGTTATTGCATAGATTTATTGAACTTGTAAAATCATTTCTCAAAATGTTCATGGTTAGGAATTTCCCAATTTTTCTTCTCATAAGAAGAAATTCATGTGAGGAAGAATATTAATTGATAACAAGGGTAGAATATCTTGTATTAGCTTCCTAAACTGCAGTACTGCACTCTCTTTAAATCTTGAATGCTTATTATCTAACAATGGAAAATGATAGAACTTCCTGCTGTAGGTGAAAACTATTTATGTTGAGGGGGTACCAAAGTCTTGGGATGTACACAAACTTAAAGAGATCTGTGAACAATATGCTGAAACTAAAAAGGTCAAAATATCTAGGAATTTGGGCAACAAAGGAAAGGATTTTGGATTCATTTCTTTCACTACCCGTGGGGATGCAGTAGCTTGCGTGAAAGGAATGAATAAACTGCAATATGAAGAAAATGCCAAGGTAATTTCATTGTATGTCTCATGCATTTTCTCCATCTCTCAAATGACATCTCTTAGTCAATTTTGATGTCAGGTTAAGGCTTATATTGCTAGGCCTCTTGTTCGACTGTGGTTGTGGAAGGGCTCTTGTGTAGGATGGAAATTTAATAGAAGGCATAGAAACACTGATTGGTGGAAAATTAAAGGTCATGCCAGGTCTAATGGGGCTGGAAAAGAGATTGATGTGAAAGCGATGACGGATGTAAACAAGTCAAAGATTAAGGGGACTGAAGAGAAACCTGCAGCAGCTGCTGTGTATAAAAATAATCAGGACCCTTTGAAGTCAGAGCATACCATAGAAGGTAAAACAAATGAACAACAAAGCATTGCCCCTGATGTTCGTGATGCAGGAGCTGGTCTGTCTACCAAACCCAAGAAAACTGATGTCAAGAGAAAGACTAGAAAGAGAGAAAGGGACCGTTTGCATAACAGGAGGTCATCAAACAAACCAGAAGGTTCTGTATTTGCTATTTGTGCTACCAAATACAGACTCTTAGAGGAGGGGTCACTAAAAAGTTTTATATGCCTTGATTATCAGGTACTTCACAAGGTAGACACAGTCATTCTTCTAGAAGTTCGAAGAGAAGATCTCATGTACTGAAGGGACATCGAAGGGATGCAGATTCTATTGCATATAGAATACCATTTAAAGAGGCATACGCTGCATCCACAAGTGGGCATCCAGGATCAGGTTATGGTGCTATTTCTGGATCCAAAAGGCCATCTTCCTATTTGGTAATTTGCTAATTTGCACACATTTATCTCGTAATGTCACGTGTGTTTGTTAACTTAAAATTGTTCTATTCAGGAACCCCATGTGGGATATGTGTCACTTGTGAATCACAACCACCAATATCATGCAGAATATGTCACCCCTTTTCATCATCAAAGGCAAACGTACACAGACCATCTTAAGCTAGATACTCACTATGAAAGGCAACCTCCTGTTAAGTACTTCAAACCTGCTATTGGGATTGATGCCCTACCTCATGCAGGTTTTCTTGAGTTTTCTTCCAGAAAGCAAAGCTTTTCTGCCGATGATTATCCAGCCAGAAGGTCTTGTTATGCACCTGACATGTCTTTATTTGATTTTGGGGTTCATTCTTCATTTCTTTGTTTCACGTGCTTATAAATTTGTTCACAGGATTCCCGAGTATAGTGGCCCAGACAATCAAGGGCCCGTTCATGGAGCAGGTAGTATCACCAATCTAGATATCTTTATTATTCAATGTATTTACCATTCCTTTGTATTCAGTCTTTTTGTTTAATATACTTGAGTGAAAATGATTGGGAACTCTACTTTTGTTCACAAAAACACACAATTGATCATCCCCCCCCCCCCGGCCATTCCTGATTTAGTTGTGTGTAATTTATGTACGTAGATATGAGGCAAAACCAATTGGATAAGGGCTTTTCAATTTGAATGGCCCTTCCACTTCCTCCTCTATACCTCAATTTGTTCTTGTGGATGCATTTTTTAAGCATGGTGGGCATATAACCTATAGGTTCCAGGTTTTGTGATGTTGTGGCTACCTAAACCCATATGAGGTTGACACCTTCTAGTGAGGTTTTTTCATTTGTAAGTCCTTTGAGCTATACATAAGGGGAAGTGTTAAGTGGTGTTATACCACGTATCTTAAGTCTCAGGTTTCATATGTTCTTACATTGAAGTTGACTTCAACATTTTATTTTTCCTGAAGAAGAGGAAAATTGGTAGTAATTATGGTAATGCTTCAGCTTGATTTGGTTTTGGGATCATTCTATGTTCTCTTCTGAATGAAGACATTGATAGTACTCGTAAATTATGTTAATCGTTTGGGCTATGTTTGTGGTATGCAAATTATCTCCGTCGTTAATTGGATTAGAAACTGCTATATCTGATTGTCATTACTTTTCTATTGGTGGGATTTGGAATTCTTGTGGTTCGTAGCTAATTGTGGACATTGTCTGCTTACTTATTGTCACTGTAGGGTATACTTATTCACGCCCTTATGTTCCGAATTACACAAGTTCTGCTGGATACGAGGTTTCTCTCTCTCTCTCTCTCTCTCTCTACGTTGTTTAAACTTATGAAACCTTTTGAGTGATGCATATGAAAAGGGGGGGGGGGAAGCTTCCATAGTTGTACACTTGAGTAATCAACATGCATTATTGGTGTATGCAGGGCTATCATAGGTTTAATGGAGCATACCACCATTGAAGAGGCAATTTCATTTTCAGGTCTTATAAAATAATTATCAATCTTGCGAAGATTGAGATTTGGGGTAATATGTAAAGCGATTGGTGATGGATGCTTTGCTCCTAAACGTGATGACATCACTTTTTAAGCGTGATTAGTTATTTAAAAGTATAAGGTACACAAATGGTCTTCTGATTATATGACGTTTTGTTGAGTCATTCGACTATTAAAAATTATAAAATGATATTTTGATTATAGGAAATTATTTTGTTAAGTCTCGATGACTATTAAAAGTTACAAAATAGTCATCTGACTAATTATATATATTTTAAAATCATAATTTTTCATAAAAAATTAACGGTTATCTAAGCTGAATTTTAACTTGCTGACTGATGTATGATAAAATCATGTTTTAATGATGTCTACTGACATCTTCATTGCTTTCAAGCACGGGCTCGACAATATAATGTAAATAGATAGACGATCTATAAAATATAATTTAAACATTTTTTTGATCAGATTTTATCATATAGTCGGGTAGGGTAGATTGAAAATCCGACTCGACCAGACCCATGCTCATCCCCAATTGTGATGTGAAAAACCTTGTTGGGCATTATCATTGGTCTTGTAACACCTCAGTTTCTTATCCTAGGATTTTTTGGCCCAATACCCTAGGTGGGTAAAAAATATAGGATATTGGGCTAACTCGAAAATTATTTACCAAACTACGACATTTGCTATAGTCTCCAAGGAACTCGTCACCTCGACGTGATGAGTTTCATGAGATATTATTTTTAATGGTCCCTGCGTAATGGGCCCTGTAGACACTTTTTTTTAACTGAAGCCTACATATACGTGTATTATATATATATATATATTATATGTAGTATTATTATTTTATTAACATACATTCTTTTTGTTATTTACAGGCCCCACACACAAAATAACAAACAACCCAAGTGGCTCAGACCCAACAGCAACACGTGAACCGGTTTCCAAGCCTCACGAGTGCCGCAACCGAAGACTCCCCATGCCCCACGAGTCTTCACGCCTCACGCCTTCCTCTCCGAGTTTCACGGCCGTACGTCTCGTCTCCAACAGTCCCGAAATATCCGGCGCAAGGAACACCAACAACTCGCAATAAACAAGAGTCACAGTTCGATCAGAACTGAAACTTTTCGGAACTAAAAATAGCTTTGTTTAGTATTATAAATAAGCTTGTAATCTCAGTCAATAGGGGGGACGAAAAGAAGAGGGAGATTACCGAGCCATCAAAAACCCATTCGAAAAATACAAAAAGAAGAAAGGACCACAAGCTTTACCTTCAAAATCGGCCATCGTTCGTCTATCGGGGGAAGGAAACTCCATCCTCGATTGAAGGTAACCCTTTTTCATTTAAATATGAGTTTAAGATCGGTTTAATAGCTTTTTTTTTCGGAGTTGGAGAGGTTCGTTTTGACCCCTGGTTTTGTCTCTCAAATGAAAGAAAATGAGTAACGAGGGAATAAGGAGAGAGTGACGGTAGAGAAATGATTTAGGGGTTCTGTTAAAAACAAATTCAGGCTTTAATTGTTTCAAGTTGAGTATTGCCGCCACTTTGAGTGTTTTTAGGGTTAAAGTAGTTTTTTTATAGTTATAGGCTATTCACATTAAGGGTTCCCTAACTTTTGTAGCACTTGTATTCCGGTCACCAATGAAACTTTAAATCCCTTTTATTTAGAGCTCATATTTTACTCTACATTATATCTCGTCCATTTTCCTTTTTAATATTTTTGTCTTATTTATGTTTGGGCCATTGTTTTTTACATAATTTATATTTTAGCCATGTATGTTTATATTAGTTCATTTTAGTTCCTTGTTGTTCTGTTATTTCATATCTTGTTAAGTTTCTATTAGTATCATGATATTTTACTTTCTTATATTTTAATCTTTAATTGAAATGTTGTTTTTTTTTTACTTTAAATTTCATCCTTAAGATATTTTAATTTTATTTTCACGCTATTAATTTTTGGTTAAATTTTTTTAGTTTCACTTATTAATTAATTAATTTATTTTTTAATTATTTTTTATTCGATGATCCTTTTATTTTACCATCTAACATATTTTTGAACTTTTTTAGTAGTAATTTTAAATCGAAGGTAAGTATTTCGAATCGGGTAATTTAAATTTAAATTTTTATTTTTTTTCGTAATTAAAGACAACCGATAAATTAATTGGTACCGAAAGGGCGGTTCAAGGGTGCTAATCCTTCCTTGATCGTAACCGACTCCCGAACCCGACACAATTCTGGTACAACGCAGATCAGGTAAGATGGTGTCCGACCCACCTAAATTCGTTTTAAAATGGTCGGTGGCGACTCCCAATCCACATTTTTCTAAGTCGAAGTCCAATTCCGGGGCCCAACCGAAAGACGGATCCGACAGCTTGGCGACTCTGCTGGGGAAAAGGTAAGTGAGTCAGGCCGAAATTAATTTTCGGTTGTCTTTTTTAGCAAAAGTTATAAATTTTAATTTTAATTTATTTATTCAATTCTAATTATTTACCTTTGATTATTTTTCAAGTAAATAGTTGTACTAACGTATTTTTAATGATTTCAGATATTTTTCAAAATTGTCATCTCTAAGCTCTAAACCCGAGCTCCGAACCCATTTTAAGTGGGGGTGAAAGCAACGCATTCGTGTGAATTTATTCACCGCATATGCCTAGCAAGTAGCCTTCGGGATTCATATACCTTACGTCTTCGTGTGAATTAATTCACCGCACAGACATAAGGGAATGTGTCATCTCGAGTTTAACTTAGTCCATGCAAGCTTGTAATGGGCTTAGGACTAAGGGTCTGGCAAGCCCAAGGGGGCACTGGCAAGGAGAACTCGAGTACCTTTTTAGAACCTAAACCGAGAGAGTACAGGGAATTAGAGCCTACCCCAAGACTTCATTCCAAACCCTAGGATGCTTTGTTTCCTGCTTTATTTTCTGTTCAAAGCATGCGAACTAGACAAATATGCGGATATGATTTGTTTGAAATTAGCATGCGGGATAGAGATCATGTCCGGGTAGGGATTAAAACATGCGAGGTAGATATCATGTGGGGTAGGATTTTTAATTTTTTATTGTTTTGATTTACCTCACTAACCCTTTTATTTTTTGTTCTCTTTTATTTTGTGTTCATCGTTTGCATCATTTAAAACGATGTGTTGATCCACCAAAAATGTGTTTGTTAAACATGAATAATCTGCATTAATGGACAAATGAGTTATAATACAAAGAGATAAAAAGCTCAGAAGTCCAGCCGTGATTAAAGAATACTTAGAGGCAAAGGTTGCAGGGGCAAGACGAGGAAAATGTTACTGACCCAGACGCTCATTTTGAAAACTACGATAACAAGTGGCGAAACCCCAGCTAAGTTGCAGACCATTATTGACGAATTCTAGAAATAAGTCGATAAACTTCGGATAGAGGGCTCCAATGGCACTTTCGTTTGGATCAAGCTCGACATAGAGTGAAAGCCGGAGATGCAGTCCTTCGAGACCCCTTTTGGGGCAAGCAGCCCATCACCTGCACAAGTTTAGCCAAAGAAGCCGGAATGGTTCGACAGGATATTCAACCAGTGAAAAAGACGAATCAACTTGTCAGAAGCTGTGCAGGATTTGTACCATCAAAATTTTTTTTGTCTCTTTAGACGTAACACTTTTTTCACCAATAAGGGTTATTTAGAATAACAGGCACATTTTTTGGATCATTGCCTCGGACATTTATGCATCATATATTTAGACATTTTGCATTTCTTATTTTCTTTGCATTTTGTTATTTTCTTTGCATTCACATTAACTAACATAAACATGTCTCATCAAAGGGAACAAATACTGGATACACCGCCTCAAGCATTGGACACACTCCATCCACATAACACTCGTTTGAAGAAGAAGAGGATGGAAGCCAGAATTACACAAATCGAGGAGAATATGTTGAAACTACAGAAAGAGTTAGAAGACAATATAAACCAGAACAGTCGAAATACTCTGAAAACAATCACAAAGAACCAAGAGTCCTTGGTTGATCAGATCGTTGCCAAGTTAGTTGGCCTATAACAGACCAGTGCGCCCGGGGCAGGTTCACTGGAAGGGGTAACTATACAACCTACCCCGCAAGTGGTTATCTCACCTGAAATCTTACCAGAACCTCGAGGGGACTCATCTGCTGAAAAAACGAAGCCCTCGTCCTCTGTATTTAACCTTAAGAACAATCGGGTTATTACCATATACCAGATTTGGACGAAGATGACAAAGCGAAGAAGATGGAGGAAAAAATCAAACAATTAGAGGACCAAATGAAGGTAGTCAAAGGAGACCGTGACTACCATGAAATCGATGCAGCGGAACTTAGTCTAGTCCCGGACTTGGTTCTTCCTCCGAAATTTAAGCCCCCGAAGTTCGAGAAGTTTGACGGGAATAGTTGCCCATCCGCTCACATCACCATGTTCTGCCGAAAGATGATAGGATATGGAGGAAACGACCAACTCCCGATCCACTGCTTTCAAGATAGTCTGTCGGGCTCAGCCATTCGGTGGTACAATCAGCTAAGCCGATCAAATATCAAGACCTGGAAGGACCTGGCCAAGTCATTTCTGGAACAATACAAGCATATCAATAACATAAGGCCAGATCGAGTTATGCTACAAAGCATGGAAAAGAAGCATAACGAGAGTTTCAGGCAGTACGCACAAAAATGGAGGGATTTGGCTGTGCAAGTTCATCCACCGTTAGATGAAAATGAAACCCGAAAGCTCTTCGTGCAGACCCTGAAGGCTCCATACTTCGGGCACCTGGTTGCGATCACATCAGGAAGCTTTTCAGACTTGGTTATGGCCGGAGAAATGATTGAGTCGGCCATAAAGTAAGGCAAAATTAAGGATGGGGAGGCCAGTAGGAAACCTCCTATGCAAGAGCGGGATGGAGAGATTAACAACATCAACCATGCCAGTAAAGGTGTTACGATCTCCAAACCAAAATCAACTACAGCTGTACCGTCAGGTACTTCTAAACAAGATTCCAGAGAACCAAGGAGGGAAAGGGAACATTTCGACCCTATTCCTATGACCTACAAAGAGCTTTACCATCAACTTCTTGACACCCATGTAATGTTACCATACCCGGTGGAACCCATAAAGCCCCCATACCCCAAGTGGTATGATGAGAATGTACATTGTGAATATCACGGCGGTGTCCCAGGGCACACAATTGAGAACTGTTACGCATTCAAAAG